AAACTATGCGGCAAAACCGTGCCAGGGTTGCAAATTAGGCTCCGCCCATTTTTCCTCCCAGATGGTTCTTCACACTTTTTGTTTTCCTCCCAGTTGGTGTGCTCTCGCCCATTGAGGTACGGTCTTGACACAATTTCTCTTTTTTGCTCGTCAAATAGAATGCCCGCTACGCATTTCGTGGCGATTCCTTGCTGTCCGCAAACACCAACCTCTACGAATGTTCGAAAAATTTCATATATTTCTTTCTTCGACATATTTTTCTTTCTCCAACTATTTCTTCAACTTTTCTACAATCATCAAATATCTAATTGAGTGTATCAAAAATGGCCATGAAAACTACTCAAGATATCAATAAAGACGACGAAGAGGTACGAAATGTTTCATTGAGTGGGCAATACAAATTGTGTTTCAGTTGTGCAAAGAAGCAGAAAAGTTCATGCAAGTATACTATGATGTTATGGATAGAAAACGAGAAAAAATTGGATTTATGTACGCCACCATCTCGCAATCCAATGCCGTTTGGAATGGAAACCCTATTAATGGATTCGACGATATTTGTCGGTATGTCTCATCTATTTTTGATGGCCACAAGAAATTTTCTGAAAGACTGAGAGAAAACTGAATGGTTTACAGCTTTATGGCAGCTCTGCCAAGTACACAGCACAACATTCAATCACTGGACGCTCAACGACTTCCTGAAGGTACTGATCTCAATTCGAAAAGAAAGGAAGAAAACGTTTTCAGGTGTTTCTGGAGATATGTCTGGTGGCATGATTCTGCACGTGGCGGGATCAGTAACAGTCGACAGTGATGCTCAGAGAGCATTCACACAAACTCTCGTTCTCGGAGTGGAAGACGGGAAATACAAGGTAATTTTATAGAACAGAGTGCAAAAAAAAACAAATTTATTTTCAGGTGAAGAGTGATCGGTTCCGATATGTCGATTGAATAGCGCAATTGCTCCAGACCTGCGATCTCTCTTATCTATGCTCAATGTTATCCTCTTGTTTTAATTTTAATAAATGTTGATTTTACTTGTTTTCATGTTGCACCTCTATGGTTCAATCCACAACTTGATATATCTTCTTTTCTACAGTTAAGCAAAAAACGCATTAAACTTAACTATATTTCCAGATGGATATAGACCACATAAAGACTGTAGAAATACTAGCTGCAAAAGCATCCAGTTGGGGTTTGCCGGAAGATGTTACTGAGCCTGGAGGTACAAAACTCACTAAGAAAAGTATAAGAAAATTTATTGATATTTCAGCCCATTTGGAAGAAGAAGAAGATTTCGAGTTGATTTCAGCAGGCTTGGACAATGTCAAGAAACGAGAGAAAGAATTATCTGAACTTCAATTTTCACCCGAAGTAAATTTGAGCTTTTTACTCGACATGATTTTTGTTTAGTTTTTTATGGACCCTGAAAATAGTTTGAAAAAAAAACACAAAATTCTGTCCGGTCTTGAAAATCCTGAAAAAAGCTCGGCCAGGTCAGTTATTATATAATTTCCAGATTACTGTTATTCGTGCGAACATGAAGAAATATCGAATCCTTCAAAAACAAATTGATCTTTTGAGAGAGGTACACACCTTTTTTTGAAACGGAGGCTAACTAATGTTACGGTTTTCTAGACAATGGGAGAACTTCGGGAAGCGTATGAATCGGTGTCAAGTCGAACTTGTTCTTTACACGATGCCTGTGATCGTGCTCTTGCCGAGCAAACTTCGCTTTCAACAGGTTCCCAACTCATAAAAACCAACCTATACTATTTCAAGCAAGCTGATGTGATCATGAAGGTTTTGGATAACCTATAGAAGAGCTTCTTGACGTAATTTTACTTCAGAAACTGTCTGTTGCAAAATTAATGGTAACCGGTCACTCGTTTGCTGCTATTCTTGTTTCTATCGATGAATGCCTAACTTACTTACGCGGGCATCCTGAATACAAAGAATCAGAGCATTACATCTCGAAATTCGAACAATGTTTGAGCAGGTTTGGAACTCAATGAGCAAAAATATCGCTACAATCCTATTCAGAGCTATGACATGGGTTCGTGTTGCCGTTCTAGCTGAATTGGATACTTGTTTCAATGATGTCAAAGATAGACAAGCGCAACTTGATGTAATCACCTCCTATTTAATTTAAACACATGCAATAAATCCTTCATTGTAGGCAGACTATGAAAAAATCGGTCGTGGTGGGCAAGATGAGGACACATTCGCACTGCTGTATGGTGTGTTTGCTTCGAAAGCGGCAGTAGTAAAGTGAGTGTGCGCCCGAGCGGTTACATTCTTGTTCTCTGTGCGAGACACTAAAGTTCGATGCCACTCCACGGGCAGTTTGAGTTGATTCGCTCTTTATTGATGGAGCTTGGGTCAAATTACTGTCCGAAAATGATAGAGAAGAAGATCTAATCAATTTGAATTGTCTTCCTTATGAAGATGATTTATCAATAGTCTCTTCCCACACTTCAACTGTTTTATTCTTTATTTCCAATTTAATGTCCTTACAATTTTTCCAATTCAGAGCATCTATAAATGTGGTGGAACAAAGATTTGCGGTTGTTCCGGAGTTTGAGGAAATGCTCGCCGAATGCCAGTACGCCTACTTTGCTAAAAGACATCTCCTACTCGGTCCTATACTTGAATCTACACTGTCTAACTTGTCCACGTGAGTTTCTTCATAGAATGCTCGCAGTTCTGTAAAATCTAATTTGTCCAGGACCCACGCTGAGTCTACCTGTCGTTTGACCAGAGATGCCTGTACATTCATGCTGAGAACTTGCGATGATGAGTACCGCCTCTATCGTCAATTTTTCGTTACTAGTAATGGTAATGATGAAAGAAAATCATCTATGGACGGAAGGATTAGTCCGGCTATGTCCACAATCACATCGGTTTTCACTTCTACTCATCCTCCACAGCAAGTTCATCCCTTTGAAACTTTCGCAGAGCAAATGTGTCGTACGTTGTATGATATGCTCCGTCCTCGTATTGTGCACAATCCGCATTTGGAGACGTTAGCCGAATTATGCACAATGATCAAGGTGAGGGCTGTTCAGATAGATTAAATTAATGTTGAGTTCAAAACAGGTGGAAATGATTGAAAACCGCTGCTCTCCACAGATGGTGGCATCGATTCTTGGTGATGACGCCATACAGGACCCTAACGTAGCAGGACTGAACCCAAGAGCAGGTTTCGTAGCCGTAATGGGTGAACTGGTCGGAGATATTGCTGAACGTATAGTTCACAGGTAATATCGAAAACCATCAATTGATAGTACACAACACTTGTTTACAGAGCAGGGCTTTACGCCCAGAGCGATATCGGTGCCTATCGTCCTGCTCCCGGTGATATTGCATATCCACAAATGCTTCAAATGATTCGAAAAATTGAAAACGAAGAGAAAGAGAAAAATCAAAAAGGTGTTGAGGATAAAGTAGACACAGCAACAGCCATTGATCAACACTGTTTGTGGTATCCAACAGTTCGACGCACTGTTCTCTGCCTTTCGAAAATTTTCCCATGCTTAGATGTAAGTTGGATTTTCCTTAAGCTTTTATTAAATCCAGAAAATTATAGCCTCTCTATTAAAAAAAAAAGGTTGCTACATATCAAATCATTATAGATTGTCATTTAGTTAAAAATAGCTTCCGTGATATTACTATCCGACAATCGCATTAGCCAAGTCTTTGATAACTTCATCCCTTAGTTTCTTCACAGTTTTTTCAATACTATGTTTCATTTTCTTCCACCATCCAAGTTCCAATCTATCGATTCTGCCCTCTTCATAGATATTTTTGGAAACTTTCTCCTGAATCGACATTTCGGAATATAGGTTACCGTCTGACTCTGGTTCCGATCTTGTTAAATAGTCGGCATTTGTCCTTTTATTATAATAATAAGTATCAATCGATTCAATATCCTGAAAAATTATTTGATTATTAAAATCACTTTTTTTCACAAACTGTTTCTTGGTTGATATTTGATACTTCTGTAATAGGAGCATTGATAACTGTTTGAGCTAAACAGAAGACCAAGAATACATACCAAAGGAGCATGTTCATTTACTGAATTTCAATCTGAATCGTTAGAAAATCAAACGAAGGTATTTTGACAAAGAAGAACATGCTGCTTTTATACAGGTTTTGAAAGCGACCTACAATTTTGATTCATCCTGCTCATATCATGTTGTTTTTTATGTTGAAATAGCATAGTCAATTTTAACGCGTGCGTATGCTCAATGTGGTTCTTATCATGTTTATCCCCAACTGTAATCTTTTCGCTCGACCAAGTTCATGGCTGCGGAAGAAATTTCGACACTGTTTTTTATTTCAGATAGGTGTTTTCCATTCACTTGCTCGTGATATGCTCTTTGCTTGTATTGAATCATTACAAACTGCATCAACAGCCATTCTTTCCACTCCTGTTCCTGCCAAAGGATGGAGCAAGAAACTGGACGCCCATTTGTTTGTCGTCAAGCATCTTCTCATTCTTCGAGAGCAAACAGCTCCTTATCGACAAAACGTTTTGAGGTGGTGCGAAAACAGTTGAATATGTTTATAGCCAGAAAAATTAGTTCCAGGTCAGACGCACTGAATACAAAGGACTTCTCGATCGACTTCTCAAAGTTCACAAATGTTTTGTTTGACTCGAACGCGAAATGGTTTGAATTGAGCACGAACAATACATTACTGGAGCTTATCACGACGGTAGGTTATTTCAGCATAGGTCTGTCGATACCAATACTTTAATTCCAGGTTCCAATAGAAATGCGCGAGCACGAAGGAGATTCTCGTCGCGTTCTTGATCAACAACTGAGAGCTGCCACTTTCCGTTTGGCTCATGAAGCCTCTCAACTCATGATTGGTGCTCTGGCAGAATGGATTGATCAAGCTGAGGATGAGGTGAGAAAATATTTGGGAGAACCTAATAAATAAACAAGTGTTGTTCAGAGATTGCAAGACGGTTTCGATTTGAAAAAGAATCCAAAGCTGGCAGCAAGTGTGCTCAAGGATCTAGCAGCACAGGCATACAGAAATGTGGGAACCAAGTTTAAAGAGGTGGGTTTTAAAAGTTTATTATAATGAATATAGTATTTGTCAATAAATTGAGATCAGTTATGAAAAAAAAACATAAATCAAGAATGACATGTCCAGCCGCGGCAAACTGTGAAGAATCCGTGACTGGATCTAACTCCATTGTCATGATGGACGACATGTCCTCCTCCGTGATGATGTTGAGTGTGACCGTATCCATTATAGGAATGATATGGATTGTATATTTGATTAGATAAGACTTCTGGAGTAGAATGAAACATCTGGCCGAAGGATGACAAAGCCAAGACTAGCCATAATAATACTAAACGCAGAAATTGCATTTTTTGATTAGTTTCGATTTGAACGTTTAATCTTTAAATAGTACGGAAATTGTAGGTGGAGTCATCCTGATCATTTGATCGAGCGTCTCCTATTCCCCCTTGGTTAACTGTGTAAATGTGTCAAAAATGTTCAAGTGATTGCGTGATTCTTGTGAAAAAGCAACAAGAATCTAACCGTGACTAGACTGACGTGACTGTATAGAATTTGTAATTATCGTTAAAGATGTAGACGACTTAAATGAAGAAAAGCTTTTTTACAGATTCGCTACGCCTACACTTTATACATTGGTGTTCCTGAAACAGAAGCGATTCTTCTGTCTCCTGTCCGGAAACGTGTAATTGATGTTTTCACTCGTGTGAACTCTTTCGCTTCGAAGACATATGATGAAGAGTCTCGTGCTGTGGCTGCTCTTCCAAACGTTCAGCAGCTTGTGCTTATGCTCAACAAATGATTGTATACTTCTGTATTTATTTATCGATGTTAACACATTTAATTTATTTATTGTAACCCGGGTTTGTTCTCTGTTTCAACCTTTCTGCCTGTCGACGATGTATGTTCAATTGTGATGTTAAAAAATAAATAATTCGGGGGTGCTTCGATTGCAACTGTCTATGTGTAGTTGTGCTAAATTGTGATAGGAAATATGGATGTTTGATTTTCGAACAAAAAAGATGATCAACGATTCTCATGGCCATGTGTTGGAGACGATGCTGATGATGATAAAATCATCTTTTGGTTAAAACAACTTCCGATCTATTTATCATGATGAATGAAAACGAGAACTGACGAAAAAAGCGGAGAGAGGACTCTTCGCGAACAATGAAAAAACAAGAGAATCTTTGTTGCTATCACCAAGAGAATATTCGGATAAGCCTAGCTTCTTCGGATTGTTTAGATTCAGCTTAATGATCGTCTCGACATATTTGCTACACTTATCTTACACCTTGTTACTTTTGATGTGCGCATTTCAAGTGAACGGTCAACAACAAACCGGAGAAGTTAGTCTATTTCCTCCAGATATGTGGCACCATCACGTTCAAAATCCATATCATACTTACTACAACGGCTATCACCATAATGGAGGTCAGGTATTAGATCATAGGAACGATCGAGTTCGAGCAAGCTATGGACACTTTCACACCTGTCATGGTTGGACTTGTCACTCCGACATCGACGATAATTCGAATTCTGAATGATGTTTGATTCATGAATTATTCTCTAAAAAATTATCTTTATGATTGAACATCAGTCATAAACGAAATAAATGACACAAGATTAATGAAACATGATTAAATAACATCTAGAAGTTGAAGAAGGATGTACTATTTCCACCAGCGTCAGAAGCGCCTCCTCCTTCGTTGTCTCCGTCGAAATTGAGGTTGAAAGAAGTATCGCCACCTCCGCTCCCCGCGGCACTTGCTCCAAACCCAAACGGATCTGAAGCGTTAGTGCTAGAAGTTGATCCTTCTTCATCTCCACCACAGCCGAGAAAGTCGAAAGCGCCACCAGATCCATTGTATAAACCGTCGTCTCCTGCCCCGATAGAACCAAAATTGAAATCAAAGTCTAAAAAAAAAAAACTTTAAGAAGTACAGGCATGAAAATGACTTACTTCCATCGGTGTCGTTTTCAACGCCGTTTACATCAGAGCCAGCTCCAGATTTAGTGTTCCCAAAAAAGTTGAATGAAAAATTGGTACTGCGGTTTGACCCGTTTTCACTCAATATATCATCTTCATCCACTCTCATCGGTGTATCGGTAACACTGTCTCCATTATCTCAAATAAATTAATATTTCATAAACTTATTTTTTGACTAACCGCTTTTATCGAGTATTTTTAGAGCGTTCGACTTCTGAACCTCAACTGCGGGTTTATTTAACTTCGGGAATTCGAATGAAGAAGTAACGGAAGAATTGAGTTTTTCAGAAATTTTCTGTGATTTTACATCCCCTTGTTTCGTTTGTTCCTGACTTTCTTCCTCCATCGGTTCGACTTCTTCTTGGTTATCCAATTCCATTACATCTATGGATTGATCCGTTTGCTTCTCGATCTCTTCGCCTTGATCCACTGGTTCGGGGCTTGGATCCCTCGGTACAACTCTCTGCGTTTCTACCACACTTTCTCGACGTTTGGGAGCTTGGTCCACAATTCGAGGAATTGGTGCGGTCGGAAACACGGTGATGTCTTCCAGGAGAGATCGACTGGTATTAATTTTCTCAGCACTTTCGTTCTTGCTATGATTTCTCTCTCCGTCCCCTTCAAACTCTTCGACTTCCATTTGATCCGGTTGTTGGATGCTTTCATTGAAAGAAGTAGACCTCGATGAAACCTTTTGCGAAGTGTTTAAGTTCACTGGCGGAGAGAGATCGTTTTTCTCCGGCGATTTTTCCTTTTCCATCTTAAAAAAAAGATGATCCCTTATATCAAATCATAAAGAGTTACCGATGCTAATACGAAGGATCTATCAAACTGCATTTTTCGTCTAAACTACCACAAGCTCGCCGACTTTCTTCTTCATTCTTCAATCTTTCCAAATTGGTCTTGCAACTCATCAGTTTCGGAGATAACGTTTGGAACAGAGTATAGTGTTTCGCACACTCAATAATTGTTTTTTGGAATGTTTTTTTAGATTCGGCTTTCACTGAAATTTTATTGCAACTTTGTCGTACCAAAAGAATTGTTGAAAAAAAACTCACATGTAGACGTTTTAGTTCGAATATCTTCTGCGAGATATATCTTCTCCGATCTAGACAAGTCAACTTCTTTTTCCAGAATACTTTTATCTTCTTCAATTGTGCGCAATTGACCAACATCGGTAGAGTTCTCCAGAAGTCTCAGAATGCAAGCGTGTTTTGTGGATAATTCTAAAGCTGACTTCTTTGCGTTTTGAAGCCGTTTTTCGTAAACATTTCTTTCTCTTCGAATTTCAGCGTTACTCGACTGCGTTGCCTTTCGCAAGAGGTCACATTGAGTGTAGTTCCTGAAACCTCGATTTTTCGAAACTATGATGGACTCCAGGTTTTTTATTTAATGGGCATTCCTTACCTATTAACATCTAACTTTTTCTGTTAACATGACGGGCGAGTTCAGTCAATAAAAACCTCTCCTCCATTACGGTTATGGAAGTCTGATAAGTCGTTTTCAAATCTTCGAGAAGCTTTCCGCTTTGCGCTATTTTTGCACCTTCTTCATCCAGCGCATATTTTCCCTGAGCTGTAACCACCAGTTTTTCATCACCGCTTAACATCAAGTTTATACCTTCTGCTATCATTTTTGTGAGCATTTTCTCCAGCATTTGGCTCCCTTCAGCGTTGATCAAAGAGCGGTCAATAAGCTGAGTGGATTGACGGAGAAACTGAAAATAACGACAAAGTTCTGAGAACTACCAGTTCATACCAACCTCGTGGGATCGTAGAATCTTCGAATTTGTTTCATTCGGACGTTTTTTGAGACTTGGTAATGACATATTATTCTGGAAAAAAGCTTTTTACTAATTTCGCATTTTCACTTGAATAAAATCATAGCTGATAGTGACACTTACCGTTTTTTCGTTTAGAAAAATTAGACACAAAATTCATTCGAATTCATTCGACCGCATAGTTTCTTACTGTAGCCGGCGAGCCTGCGCATCCAACTAAACGCTTTATTCAGCTGGCCAGCGCTGCGGAATTATTTCGAAACTGGAACCTGAAAACAGGAAACTAGACAAAACAGATAAAGCGGATAATCCTGACAAGTGTTTACACTGTTCACAAAGTGCCGAAAAAAGTTGAGAAACACAGCTTCTCCGCATTTATCACAAATTTCTGGACACTCTGGGAGAAAATGTGTCTGCGTCTCCGCCGTTTGTGTGCTATTTAGGCTCTCCGCTTCGATATCGCTACCGTATTCAGACTGCAAAAAACACTATCTAACCTTTTTTTTCTCAGACAAGCATAATACCCTCCAACCCCTTCTAAAGGTTCCCTCTAACCACGCAACGACACTCCGCTATCCCGCTCGGCGCGCGCACAGTTTAAATTTAGTTTTGAGCATACTTGTAACGGGCCGGGTCGAGGCCCGGTAGCAAAAATTTTGTCATTTTGAGCCAAATTTGGACCTCTCAATAAAATTATCTCCATACTTGAAAC